TTTTTTTTTTGTTTCTTAATCTGTTTATTTATGCAAAAATAAGAAGATATAACGGTAGTACTGCAAATAGCAGTGAAAAAAGAAGTGAAACAATGATCAGTCAACATGTAGATCAAAAACTCAATTTAAACATCTATGGATGCTTGAGATCAGCTCATAATTATTGGAACCATATCTAAACAAATTTGAGGTAAGATATCCTTACCAATAATTTATAATAGGTATTCCACGTTTCTGCTTGTACGAACGGGTAATCCAGTTAACAGCTACAGAGAGATTTCAGTATCTTTCAGTTATTAGATCGCGTAAAATGTCACTTTGTTTTGGTAGTTCTTGATTATTTTTTGAATGCTATGCAGTTTTTTGGCAACCAATATTTTCTGAGAAGTCAAAAAAAGAAAGCAGTAGAATATAGGAAAAAATTTTTGTTGTTACTCATTAGTTTTGGAAGGTCATCAGAAAACAGAAGTTAATGACAACGATAGCAGTGGCGATAATTTATACTGCATAAGGCAACCTTAAATTATTGAACGGATGGCTTTGTACATGGTTATTTTATTTTTATTTTAAATTAATTCGTTAGCATTTTTTTCACACATAAATGCCTTGTAGTTTTCTGGATTTTTAAGCATCAGTAGATTTGCTTTTGCTGATGTTGTATCAGCTGCAAAAAGGTTACGGATTACTCAACTCATCAGATAATTGTTCCGCACAATGCTTCACTATTATTAAAGGTCTGATAATTTCAAATTACTTGGTTACTTTGAAGTTTTTTTTCTAGCGAAAAAAATCTCACGTGTTAAGCAGGAAAAAAGATGCGAAAAAAGTGAGAGAAACAGTTTGGGTCTAATAGGCGACACGCAACTGCAATATAATTGAGGAACGTATAATGCTGCATTCCTTTTTTTCTATTCTCTATAAGAAGTTGGGAATCAGGAAAAGCAAAAAAGTAGTATTTAAACAATTGTTTGAACTATCTGCTTAAAAAAGTTGAGTTGTAGTTGAGAAAGCGCTTACAAGTTATTAATCTAAGACTTCAGTTGACAACAGAGCCTTAAGCAGCAACAACACAGATTGATCATTGATAGACAGAACTTTGCCCTATACTGCATTAGCGTTACTTTGATTTTTGAAAACAAGGAAGTAACTAGCAAAAAAGTTTATGCAAACATAAATATGTATATATTTTAAATTCTGATTACTTTTTATTT